CCATCTATTCCTTAGCCTCCATTAATATTTCTCTTCATAAAAGACATTAATTTGGTTTTAATGTGAATCCATTTGCAATCATTAAATATTTCTTTTCTATAGTCCCAGAACCAATAAAGAGCAATATGATACCAATAAAGGGATACACATTAGTCATAGAGAGCTATATTTTTTGTATATGGTGCTATAATTTTCTCATAAGAAGCTATATTTTCGAATAAAGTGCTATACTTTGCTCAACCAAAAAATTAATAACTATTAAGCTTTCATATTTATGTTAATTAGTCCAATGGATATTAAATCTTCTTCTATTTTTTCCCAGCAATTTTCTTGACGACATACTACACACTATTAATTTCTTTCCTAGAGTCGCAGAGTCAATAAAGAGTTATATATGATAAGGAGATACACTTTAGTCATAAAAAGCTATACTTCTTTACAAGATGTTTAACTTTGCTCCTAAAAAGCTATGTTTTCGCATAAAGAGCTATAGTTTGATCAGCTTTGGTGGATTTTAGGAATTAACTTCACCTAAAATATAGGGCACAGCTCTTTGAGTTTAGTGTTTTGTGAAATGAATGAAGAGAGAAAAGAGAGAACTAATGGGTTGGGTTTTAGAATTTTTTATAAAATACAATATAAAGTTTGAGAGTATATTGCTAGTTGGGTTGATAAATAAGTCACAAGGGGTACTTTGGGTGTATGTGTATTTGTGGAAGTGGTTGAATTTTAAATAAATGGTGGTAAAACTTTGGGTTAAAAAACAAAAATCTCATGTGTGTGTATTTGATGGTTATGAGGTGGTGGCTCATTTTGCTTAATGAGCTACCAAGAAATAGATGTGTGAAGTCCACAATTTTTTATGTGATTTTTAGCGTGGGCCTCACCGCATGACTATCTTTTAGTAGCTCATTTAGTAAAATAAGCTGCCGCTTCATATATATACACACAGATATGGGGAATACGAGTATGCTTCGTACCAAGCACAAAAATGATGCTTGGTAATGAGGTGACTCATTCCCATCCACTCATTTAAAGGGGGACCACATGTACATGGGTGCATATAGGTTGGATAATTAGAATCAGTGGATTAGAATGTGCCACCTTACTATCAAGCACCAAGTTTGTGCCTGGTACCAAGTATATCCACTTCTCTCTCTCTCTGTGTGTGTATTAGTGTGTTGTATATAATCTAGAATCACATTTGTAGTTCATATTTTTAAACATGTAAAAATCCACATCACTAGTGATGTGGTTATGTTCTAGAAGGAGTTAAGGGATTGTTTTTGTCAGCGTTATTTAATTTTTGCCTTTGCTTATGAAAAGGAGTGCGCAAGCATGGTTAGTGCTTTTACAGTATTTACATATTAATATAAGATTGACAGTCTTATTTTGTTAAGGAAATCTTGTAAATTCTGATTTAACGTGGAACTTCTTTTGCTCTTTAGATATTCTGACTTGTTTGTCCACTTATTGTTGGACAGGATATTAACAAAAACCTGAGTATTAAAGATGCCCTGGCCCGAGAGGAGGCATTCTTCCGCAATCAGCCTGTACATAGTTTAACAGCTTTCATTTTGTTCTTCATTATGGTGTCTTTGTTTTTGTGCCTTCTGAAAATGTATACTAGAAGCTTCTCCTGATCACAGGTGTACCATGGTCTCTCTCATTGTTGTGGAATACCTCAACTAGCTAAAAAACTAAATCAGGTAATTGCAACTGTGACCTTTGCTCTTCTCCGTTCATTGCTGCAGTACACAGTTCACAGTGGAGGTTACGTTTTACCAATGTTTTCATTAGATGATCGATAACTTGCTACAATTTCATATCGTGCTTTTGTTAGTATCATTATGATATCCAACTCTCTCTAAGATGACAGAGACTGATCCTCATGGCCAGTTTTTAATGCTGATATCTTTTGTTTTTCCAATATTTTGTGCAGATTCTAGTGCAACACATCAGGGCAGTTCTTCCAGCACTAAAGTCCCGCATAAATAGTCAATTAGTGGCTGTAGCAAAGGCTGATGCTGCCTATGGTGATGTTGCAGAATCGAAGGTATGCCTAGTTATTTCACTTGTAGATGATGTGCTAGTTAGTTGAGCTAGACTACTATTGACAGTATCAAAGTATTGCCGTAAGTTGGATACACTATTACTATGGCTTCTTTAAGCAATTACTATAATGGGAGCTCGTCACTGCAGCTCAGACGATAGTTAGCCATTGATATAAAATGATTTATTTGTTCCGCTGATACTTTAAACTTTAAATATGTTTTGAACACGGTATTGCTGTAAGTTGGATACACTATCATTATGGTTTATTTAAGCAATTATTACTTGATTTTGTAATCCTCCTGGTATGTTGCATCGTGCGGTAGTAGTCCTCTAAGTCATTTTATTCTATGCGAATGCTTTTACTTATTAATCTGGTTACTTCTTTTTTACTCTAAGTTCATTTTCTGTTTGATATTCCTTAGGTATTTAATTTAAAGTCTTTTTGTTGTTAATACTTTAATCTTGCTGCCCAAACTACAGGCTGGTCAGGGAGTGAAGTTATTGAACATGCTCACAAAATACTGCGAAGGTAACTTGGATTTGCAAATTTTAACACCTATTTTTTCTAGTTGAAATGCCATATTCTTCTCTGCTGCTCATTCAAATTTAGTGTATTTCTTGAGGCGTATTTCCAAATAAATAACTTATATTTTAGATCAAATTTCTTTGTGGACTTTTCCTCTGTATCTTCCATGCATATAGAAGTCTCACAAGACTCTCAACATCTTGTCCAAACAGAAGTGGGAATATGAAATTTATCCAAGGTAGTTCCTTGAATTTTCGTGTCTTTTTTTTTCTGTGGAGTTCATAGACTTAACGACATACAAGAGCATGTAAGTGCATAGATTATGGAAAATTAGGGTGAATGTATTTGATTTTCCTCACAGTCTACCATTCCAATCTACTAGAGATTCTCGTTGTACTACACAAATCTTATAAGGTTTGTGCCTTTGCCTTTTCAATCAGGATTCTTAGGGTTTAGCTTGGTATCTTCGTATACTTCATCTTACAAGTCAATTAAATAGGCTACTTCATTTTGCTAGCCATTTTAAACTACATCTTGGTGGTATGGATAACTTAAAAGGACACAACCAAATTTAATACTGTTGTTCTTGTTTGGGAACAGAGAACCAGTGGCCACTGGGGCGCCTGAACAAATAAAAAATCGACAACCAAAATCAAGGTTGCATGAAACTTCTACCAATAATAAGCTAGATGTTGATTGCACACTTGAGGTTGGTAAGGAGAGGAGAATGCCCCCTAACCTAAGTGGGCCTACCAGCAATGCAACGGGTACTTAATTGGGATATTGAAACCATAATTCACATTATTATTCTTATTTGATCCTTGGCTATAGCTAAGTTTTGTTTTGTATTGGGCCATCCTGTTAGCAAGCTGGCCTGAGCAGATTTATCTGATTATGATATTCTTGATTGATTCGGTCGCATGTCGCTTATGGAACCACGTTTTCTGGGAAGTGTCTTCCTTCAGTTACACTCTTTTATGATCTTTCACACCCATATGAGATTATTGTGATTCTAGTAAATAGCAGAGCAAGCAGAAGGTGAATGGAAGGAAGAAGCAGGATAAAACCAGACCAGAGGTAAGTAAGGGTTCCGGAGTTTGGCTATATGACCATGATTTGTGTGCGTGCGATCTTGACATCGGAAAGAGGTACTGGACTATGGAACCATGGGATGCTGTAATAGCATTATACTAGGCATCCTTCATCTGATCCCTGTTAAGACAATATAATACACTTGCTTCAAACACGTCTTAACGTTGTCTTTGATATGGTTTGGCATTTGCCCATTAATCTAATTAATGTAAACCTTGAAATATGTAGCCTATTTCCATTAACTATATCTGTATCTTCTGACTAATTAAGGCATGTTTCCTTCTTGTAGTTTGAGGCCCAAAGTGGAGCAACTGTCACTTAATATTCTCCTTGTTAATTTATGACTGGTTACACCTTGTATTCTGATTACTTTTCTTGCATTCACCTCTATCTTGTAGCTTTCACCTCAATGATCGAAGGTAAGAATGAGGAGATGTCAATGGCTGAGCTTTCAGGTGGGGCCCGGATTCATTATATCTTCCAGTCAATCTTCGTGAGAAGTTTAGAGGTGTGCAGTTCTGACATCCATATAGCATAGAAGTTAATATAGTTGCTTCACTTATAATTATGCTTTTATTTCATACTTCATGTTCCACCTCCATTTGGGATGAAGGCTTTGTCGTTGTTGCATGTTCACCTCCATAGCTGTTTGGTGACGATACTAATATTACTTTATACAGTTACCGGTTCTTATATTCTCTATTTTATCTTTATCATAGTTTATATATCTTTCGTTGTTTTGCAGGAAGTTGATCCATGTGAAGATGTAACAGATGAAGATATTCGCTTGGCTATTCAAAATGCTACAGGTCCTAAAGGTGCTTTGTTTGTGCCTGAGGTGAGATCTAATGAAGTTTATTTGTGGAAGACAAAATATTTGCATCTGTGTTCAGCTTCACCAATTTCCTGCTTCATTTCCAAATCTATCATATTGTAAGATTTGTCCAATGATGTGCAGGTTCCTTTTGAGGTTCTAGTGCGTAGACAGATAGGTCGTTTATTGGATCCAAGCCTCCAATGTATCAAATTTATCTATGATGAGTTAATCAAGGTACATACCATTATATTTATATCATTAATCATATGACAAGGCATGAATTCTTCTTGGTCTTAAAGTTTGTCATTTCTGCACTGTAGATGAGCCACCAATGCTTAGTTAATGAACTGCAACGATTTCCTATTCTTAGGAAGTGTATGGACGAGGTAATAGGGAAGTTCTTACGGGACAGCCTTCAACCTGCAGAGACTATGATAACTCATATCATTGCAATGGAGGTATTTATAAACTAAATGCATTGTTTATTTTCGCATTGGCAAACTCAGTGACCAGAACAGACCTTTCAAAAGTTTCATGTTTAAGTATTTTCATGTTTGATTATTTGCTTCCTCTACATGTTTACATACACTTCAAAAGCTTCATGTTTAAGTATATTCATGTTTGATTATCTGCTTCCTCTACATGTTGCAATGGTATTCCTTTACTGAGAGAGAGAATTTCAAATTGACATTGTCGCGCTTAACTAGAACAAGTAAATAGTTTGTTACAAATAAATCTTTCTGGAAAAACATTATAGTGTAAAGCCTGGGCAGTAAAGAAAATGTTATCGATGTTACCATCCTTTAGAAAAATTGTGGAAGAATAGTAAACAAGAGGGTATACAATGACAAGGATTGACACGTGCATGGAAGGTTTTCCACATTTAAGTTTATATAAGTAATCACATGAACATGCAATTTCTTTGATAAAATGTGCCTCTAATTTCTTTCTTACTGGATATAGAGATAGAGTGATGTATAGAGATTGCGAGTTCATAATCGCTCCTCATATAATGTAATGTGAAATACAAGTTTTGCTGCATTCAAGTTATCAGTCATCTTTCTGCATGAGCTTTTTAATATGTGTGGTTATTTGTGCCGACGTGAATGTCATCATATTGGACTTTTGGTTCTGAAGTCTGGTACATACTGTTACTGCTTAAGCCGACATGGAGCGAGTACCTTATTGTCTCCTCAATCTTGTTACCTTTGAATAAAATGAACTGTACAAAAGGGAAGAACATCATTCATTTTTCAATAGCTGTTGAAGGGTTGGAAAGATTACATGTATAAATTGACAATTAGTGTAATCAGATTAAACAACTTTCCAGAAGAGCTGTTTCTGGATTTATCTGACTGTTAACTGAAGGTCATCTTTTGTATCTAGAACTTTGAACTACAAAACATAAAATGACTGTCTGGGGATAAATTATTGCTTCTATTGAGACATTTAACAGATTAAATGTGCTTTTGATTGGTTAAGAAATAAGTGGTACTGGTAAATATAGTAATTACTATGGAGCATATGAATATTTAGGGGTGTAAAGGATAGCTTTGATCAAATAAAGGCGTGGTGTCAATATTTCAAGTAAGCAATGTTTAGCAAACAAAAAATTAAATCAATTCAGTATGGTATTAATGAATATTTTTTAGGTTAGGGATAATGAGAGTTAAGCTGGCGCATAATAAATTAAATCAATCCAGAAGAGCTGTTTTCTGGATTTATCTGACTGTTAACTGAAGGTCATCTTTTGTATCTAGAACTTTGAACTACAAAACATAAAATAACTGTCTGGGGATAAATTATTGCTTCTATTTGAGAAATTTAACGGATTAAATATACATTTGATTGGTTAAGAAATAAGTGGTACTGGTAAATATAGTAATTACTATGCAGCATATGAATATATAGTGGTGTAAAGGATAGCTTTGATCAAATAAAGGCGTGTCAATATTTCAAGTAAGCAATGTTTAGCAAACAAAAAATTAAATCAATCCAGTATGGTATTAATGAATATTTTTTAGATTAGGGATAATGAGAGTTAAGCTGGCGCATAATAAAGCAGAGTACGATGTCTTGGACTGTATAAGGTGAATGGAGTATTCTCTGCCAGTTGGGACTTTCAAAGTTTGTAGAATGATAAAAATAGATGACATGGATATTATTACATGGAAGATGAACGGCGTTCTAGCCATGCGGAGTGAATTATCTAATGATCAAGAAGAACTTCTCGTTTAGTGCTTTATGTTGTAGAAAAGGCTTGAATGCAAATAAATTGTTGCTTATGTGCAAGTAATAAGCTGGACCTTTGATTTCTACTGGAGGTTGATTATTTCTTTGATTTCTACTGGAGGTTGATTATTTATTTGATTTCTACTGGAATAGTCTTTTTTTTAATCTATTTGTTCCTTAATTGAGGTTTGAGCTTTATCGCCTTAGCATTTTGTTCTAAAATTCAGAATTCTGTCTATACTGAAGATACATTAAACTATAGAAGTGCTAATTACACCTTCTCTAGTGGAATGGTAAAAATTTAGATGCATCTGTTGCTTAATAAAGGAACTATACTGATGATATTGGACCTCATAAATGATTTCCTTTCAGATATTTAAAAGTTTAGCGTCTTTGCTCAGTTAGTCAGTTCTATGCTTGCCTATTCGGCTATTCCTTAATCATTCGTTAAAACCCTCTCTTCTGGTGATATTGTAAACATTATATGTTTCTGCTTTTCGTTAAGATTTTGTTTTAATTGATTTATCAACTGTTGCAGATGGACTACATAAACACATCACATCCAAACTTTATTGGAGGCAGCAAAGCTGTAGAAGTTGCGCAGCAGCAAGTTAAGTCTGCTCGGCTAGCGGCAGCCATGCACAAAACCAAGGTTTTTCTTTCCCCATCTTCTATGCACTTATTATCCTTCGGCTATGTGCAACAGTGTTTAGAAAAAGCAAGTTTTCCTTTTAAACACATTGAATAGTTGATCTTGTTCACGAGTATCAATTTGTAAGCATATCCATTGGTTCGGAGACTGTCTTTGATAAAAACAACAGTGTGTGTATCTGGTTAGTTCTTATCCTATTGGAGATTATGCATGATAATAGTGTATCATATGCTTCTAATATTATAGTTTGTAAGTAGATAGCGCTGACATACATGCTCTTTTAGTATATACTATAATACTATATGTTCACAAATATCCTTCTTTCAGCTAAATAATTTTATAAAACCCCCTCAACTATGGGGTTTGTCTCAGAAAACCCCCAAGTATTGACTCTCGAAAAAACCCCTCAATTTTGGGGGTGTTGTAAATTGCCCTAGTAACTTTCAAAATAGGAGTTAACCCTCTTCAACTTTTTTCACCTCCTCCCCCACAACAACAACAACAAAAACAAAAAAACTAAAAACAATATTAAATCTAACAAAACATGTAATAAGTGTGGTATAAAATGACCATAATACCCCTAAGAGATTAGTAATTTATCCTATTGTCCCTTTTAAATTTTTTTGTTAAACCTCTTGTATCTTCCTCACTTCTTCTTCCTCTAGTGTATTGCTAGGTCCAGGTCTGAATGAAAATTAGTTTTTTCTTTTAAAACTTCAAACTTCTTTCATTTTGTACTTATTCATGCTTCTAACGTTTGAAAAAAATTGAACTTTGTTTTTTTCAAAGATGGTATTTACTCATCAAAGCCCGTTGAATTCAAGGCTAATAATTATGGGTTCTTCCATTAAAAAAATAATAATTGTGCGTTCTTTTAACTTTAGTTGGTTTTTTAACTCAAATAGTTTTTTTAGCTCAAATATGTTTTTTTTTCAAACAAGAGAAGTTTTAGTCATTACCAGTGTTATCGAGAAGCAAGGCGTAATGCAGGGCGCAAAGGTCCCTTACGCGCACCATGCGTAAGACGCACAACGATGCGCGCGCCTCACTGAATTGAGACGCACAACTCAAACTAATATATTCTAACATAAGACAAAGAAGCATATAAGCAATATTTTTATAAATTATCACAAAAAAAGACTAAGAAATATAATTTCACCTACTAAATCACGAAAGAGTCTTAATTAATTAGCATGCGTAACATAGAAAAGTTCATAAGTTTTCATAAATCACAATGCAAGATAATATCCAACATGAGCAAAAGTCTACGAAACAAAATAAGCAAGTAGCAAAATAATAGTGTCTAGTCATCCTCGTCATCATCGTCATCCAACTGAAGTGAAATTTCCTCAGCCTTAGTTTCCTCCTCTTCTTTATTGAACTCTTCTTCATCCTCCGAGTCCAGCTCGCTCCTCCTAGATGACGAAGCAATACCACTTGAAGATCCTCGAACCCTAGCAGTAGACCTTAAAGTTGGTCCAAAATTTTCTTTAACTCTCATTGCTTCGCCTACAACACCCTATCTAAGGTCATCCTCCTCATCCACCAAGTCATTCTCCGCATTGTTGCCCTCTCCAAATTGACCTAACAACCACTCGTCGCTTTCAACTATGTCAATCAACTTGATTGGAATAACAATATCCCTGCAGTCAAATCTTTTCTTCAAAGCTTGATTATATTTGTAATATACTAGATCCTGCAACCTATTGTGATCCAATCTATTCCTCTTCTTGGTGTGTATCTACAACTCATATAAAGTCAAATAATCAAATTAGTACTGGAAACCCTAAGAAGAAAAGGGTTTAATGGGAATATGGGGGTACCAGACCTAAAACCCGTTTAATTCAAAACAACCCAACTCACTACGCATCACTACGCACCATCAGCTGGGGCGCAGTGAGTCGGTGCGCCTGACGGGCGCGCTAGGCGCACACGAGGTGCGCCCCAGGCACGCGCCTCGCGTGCCGCGGCGGCCTCGTGTGCCCTAGCTAGCCGCCCCGCCTCTGGTGCGAGGCCGTTTGCTATTAGGCCGCAGCGTCTGGCGCCTCTTTAACAATGGTCATTACACTTTTGAAACTTGAGGGGGTTATCTACAACACCGCCTAACTTCAAGGGGGTTTTCTGAGACAAATCCCATAGTTGAAGAGGGTTCTATAACCCTATCTAGAAGAATTTAGAAGAAAGAAAACAAAATCTTCAGATTGTTAGTAGCTGGAAATGCAAACCCGCAAGGTTTACTCTTTAGGAACACTGGAGAACTTTAGAGATACGAAATATGAACACTTCAATTTAGTTGGACAAGACTCAATTCATTGGACTGTGATGAATCTGATCATGACTTCACCAAAACTATCTCTCGATAAAATAGATTAAAATGTAAGAGGTAAACCACGAATAAGGTAAGTTGAGAAACAACAGAGTTATTACATAAACAATCAGGCCCTATAGAGAAGGCTGATAGTCCGACACTATGTGAAGTGGTTGGTGAAGATATAGATGCATGCATTCG